GAGCGGCTGATGCTGATGATGCTCGCCCTCGACGGCTCTGCAAGTGCATTTTTGCCGTTTGCAGCATCGCCGACCCTGCGAGTGCACCTTTGTGCTCGCAAGATGCTGATGATGCTCGCCCTGGGCGGCTTAGCAAGTGTACATTTGCAGCTTGCAGCAGCGGCCTGTGATGCTCGCCCTGCGCGAGCGCGTTTGGAGTTGGAGTTTAGCGATTGAAGCTTGGAGCATCCGCACGCGCCCATATGATTTACGTAATGGCTACAAGAAGCAGCCACATCCGATGTGAAGCGACAGTCACGCACGGCAAGGCTGGACACTGAACATCACGAGTCCACAGTCTCATGATGAAGTTCAAAGAGAACGCGCGAGTGACTGTCAGCCTGCCCAAGTTCACTTAAGAACTGCAGGTGGGTTGTATGGACGACTTCGGTTTGACTAGAATCAAACCTTTGTCGTCCATACAACACTCCGTCGAACACGTACTCTTCAGCCAGCAACATGCAAGTTTCAAGAGCGGGACGAATTCCTTGTCAGAACCTGGCAAGCCCAAAAGAGAAATTCCAATTTTGCACAAAGTCTAAATCCACCTTTGCCGAATTGTACTGAACCCGGTGCTGCTTCCGTTTCGAGCGTAGGCTTTTCGCTTGTGCAGCAAGCTTGCCAGGCGCTGACTTTTTGAGACTTTTGGGTCCTTCGGTTTGGGGTGCTCGAAGTGGGCCTCAGGGCTTCACACAAGACAGGCCTCTTCAAAGATTCCAAGAAGCGAGGGGCGGCAAAACTGAGGTCTTGAGTCGAAGTCCAATTTGGAGCTCTTTGTGAAATCGCATCCGGCGAAGGCAATCAGTTTTTGTTTGTTGCCACTGCTGGCGTACATTCGATACATTCATGACCGAAGCAAAATAACAGATAGCAAGTCAGCGAATCAGGAGCTTGTATGTACGTGCGTACGTAGGTGCGTACGTGCGTACGTGCGTACGTGCGTACGTATGTATGTATGTATGTATGTATGTATGTATGTATGTATGTAGTACGTATGTATGTATGTATGTATGTATGTATGTATGTATGTATGTATGTATGTACGGATTCATGCATATATGTACGTATGTACCTTAGAGCACTTTAATGTTTGTGTGCAAGAAATCCAGCAATGCGCCAATCATCAACGGTCCCCTCGTTGAGTCTTAGAATATTGTTGTGAACACCTGCAACAAACACTCATATCACTCATCATACTGGGATACGTCAAGAGAGCTGGCCGCGACAAGAGAAAAGATATGTTGATCGGTACACGTACTTATGCATAGAGCAGGAACATGAGGTTGTTTACTCACCTCTGCGGAGTTTTGTTTGCATTTCATGCCTCTTGCAGACGTGAGCGCATTGGCGATCTGCAAGTTTAGATCCGACATCAGCGTTCACGGACTTGGCGTTCTCAGTTGAAGTTCTCGAAAGGCACATGTTGCGGAGAGTCCGCCGGCATGCCATGGGCCAATGGGTCCCTGGAGCTTCATGTGAGTCAGAATTCAACGCTGGAGGCGATCGATTACCCGCCGCTCCTCGATGAGTTCTCGCGAACATTGGCAGCGCCGTACGGTGAGGAGCTGCTGAGAACCTAAGTAAGGAAGATTGTAGAGTCAGCCGATCTAGCCGGCTTTGCCAGTTGCTTCAGTGATCGTTTGTCTTTTCACGCATTTGGTGATGTAGCTGATGTCCAACATACATGGACGAAGCGTTCGGGAGGTGGGGTCCAGCTTCTTCAAGCGTAGAATGCCAAAACTGGAGTTGGGGGTACCACATCTGCTTCGGCAACGTCGGCCAAGCCCAGGGTCCCTCAAAGCCAAAGGACCTCCAGCATGGGAGCAGCTCTGGACGCCCCCCTGCTGAATTTAAAGATGCTGGAGGGTACAAGCTCTTCAGGGGTTGAAGGAGCAAATCTTGGAAGATGGCCTGGCCCGCATCAGACCTGTAGAGGACTTCCAGCCAATAGTCGGAAGCTGACATACTGGTGATGATTTCGGGTTTTAGGATCTCCTTCCCCTTGCAACGTTGTGTGTTGAGAGCTAGGGTGTGACCGCTCAGGGTAGCTCTCATGCTTCATCTGCCAGCCAAAAGCTCCAAGCGTCTGAACCTGTTGCTGTGGCGCTTCGGGCTCCTCGCCCCACTGATCGGTGTATCCTGCAGCTCCCAGGAATAGCGTCGCACCTTTCGCCTTTGGCCGGGATGTTAGCCGCGTGCTCGACTCGTTAGACGGTGGACGTGTATAAGCGAGTTTCGGCTTTCGGCTCGTGAGGCTTTGGGCTTTGGCGGTCCTGCGCACTGGCTTTACTCGTCTTGGTTTTCGACAACACTTTGAGAACCAAACCCAGCATTTCTTTCCAGTTCCAGCGTGCAGGACCTGAGTAATTGAAGAACAGAGTAGCTAGCGACAGGTTTCAACGACAACTCGTCCTTGAGTCACAGCCAAGCGCAAGGTCTGGAGCCATGAGGCCAAGTGTTTAAAGTGGCGAATGAAGAAGCTTCCAAAGAAGGACAGCAAGGGCAGCGACCTCAGAGACCGAGGAATGCATGTCATTGCATGTCGAGGGTTTCTAGATGAGACTGAAAATGTCGGCAGCAGGCTACTTGGGAGAAGAATGTACAACACGCGTTTGGAATCGAATTTTGAAGCCTGAGGTCTTGGTATGCTGACTTTAACCCTGGTCGTTGATGCGTATAGTATCAGATGAGCACCATCGTGCAACGCTTAATTTTCCGGCCGGAGTGTGAAGAGATGGGTTCCTCAGTGCGGTCTCTGTTTCCGTGATCTCGCAAACACGTTCACGTAGGAAGTCTCGTCTCGAGTCTCGAATATGTTTTTGTCCATCATTTTTCTAGTTGGCTGCACTGTTAAGCCCTTCACTTCCACGCTGAAGCCATGCTTCTTTGGGCTGCTTGGGCATTCGAGTGTTTTGAAAATCTGGAGTGTTTCGAGCTGAGGATAGGTATCACGAAAAGTGATCTGTTGGCTTGGAATTCACTCGCTGAGGTCAGAATCCCGAGTTCGCACCTTCGGACATCCTGGAGCGAACGTTCGAGAACAGTCAGATACTTCCAGGTGCACCCCTTTAGGATGGAGACTTCAGATGCCAGACGTGGTGCTAGCTTGTAGTTGCCTTGACAGACCCAAATCCAACCCTGAACCCAAGCCGCCCTTTCTTTGGACGCCACGGCCATTCCCTCTTGGCCCACTTCACTGCATTTCTCAAATCCTTTCCCGAAACGAGGCTCCTCCCTCGACTTGGAGCTGAAGGAGGCGGTCATCTCGAGGCTCGGCTTCGGCTGTAGCAAGTGGAGGGATCTTGGGCCGCAAGGGGAGGAAGATGTCACGAATGTTCGAATGCGCTGCTGTTGCCCGGCTTGAGTTGGTTAGTCGTTTCGCTGTCTGGGGACAGACATTAAGTAACGTTTTCGGATGTAACTGCCTTTGGTCATCTCCAGGCTCGATAGATTTGTGCCGATGAGAGATTCCAATGGCCGATACTGCAGTGGCAAGCGACAACTGGGTAGCCCATAAGCTTGCAGATGCTTGCAGTAACATGGATCGACCAGATTTGATGAGTCCCGTCTGTGAAGGCGCGTCTTCTACGGCACGCTGCTTCGATACAACTACTACATTGCGGCTCGGTCGAGTCATGGGGCAGAGCCCGTTCTGGTGGGGATACGCCACCTCTTATTTCGGTTCTGTCCGATGCGATCAATATGTAGCATGATCGGCACCACGATTTCAGGAAGATGGGATTGCCGACACCGCCGTGGCGCCCATCAACCCGGAGTGGGTGGAAAACGTAGGCTCCCGTTGACCCATATGACACGCACATGGGTCGAAGTTGTTGATTAATTATGCAGACGGCCTCCAGCTGCAGCCGGGGGCACTGGAATTTCGGACAAGGAGTGCGTCTCAGTGTCTCTGCGAATGAATGAGGTCAGGAAACATACGGTAGGTGTCGTTGGGCAGTCTTGCGTCCAGCCGCGATCAGAGTCTATCCTGGGATACACGCATGCACTGAAATCGGTTCTAAAAGATTAGGTCTCAGCATCTAATCTTCGCCTCGTGAACTTCAGCACGCATTGCTTTGCGCAGCTTTCCCGGCCAGGTTTTTTGGTTGAGGCAGAGCGCCTGTTCAAGGATTTGCCCGTCGAGGCCGTGCGAGTGCGACTGGTCATAGGGGGCAAGAGGGCTTCTTGCATTGTTAGATGGCGGGTAGCTAGCTGGCCAGCAGAGTTTTGCCTCCTCAAGCTAGCTACAGGTTCTTTCATCTTGCCCAGTCCTATGCAGACGGTGACTAAGCTCTATGAAACTGCTGACAGTTGTCGCTGGCATTTGCTGCACCATTGGCTCGTAGATGGACGGCAACTCATCATCTGCCCTCCAAAAACGCCAAAACCTATTGGGCAGCCAGTGCCCGATTTCGAATTCCATAAAGATTTAACTCAGATGCAAACGTCTGGGTCCTGTGCCTGGGTTAGAGGACCCCAAGTCGCGTGAGGCAGAGTTTGAATCACAACAAGACGAGAAGAACACGTCGCACCATAGTGAACTGCCGGAACAAGGCGTTCGAGTTTGAGCTTCTCGAAGTTGGCTGATTCCTGTTTGTGTTTGCCATGATGTTCTATTCTCATTGCCGCTCATTCACCTTGATCCTGCCTTGATTGTCTTCCAACACTAAACGCTTTCCCAACCCATCTTCCTTTAACTCCCACTTTGCCGCTACTCTCACTACCAGCTGTTGCTGTACTCCGACCAGTAGCTATATCCCCAGTTGTCAACATTTGTAGCCAGCGTTTCACTGCCGAAGCGCGAAGCTCCAGGTGACCAGGCAGATTACGTCAGATGTCACCGCCGAGATGAGAGCTGGGTGCGCCGCGAGGGCATGAATTGCTAGGACCTCCCGCTTGCGAGGGAGACAGTCTAAGTAAGGTCAGAAAAACTTGCTGGAGCTTGAAACTGTTAGGCGCACTCATTCACATGCTTTCTTGTAAGCGATGCCATGTCAGTGTGGCATGTTGATTCCGCAGAGGTTGACGGCTCAGGAAGGAGAGTGTGCAGAAGTGCTGAGGACAGTGTTTTGGGAGACCGCGGAAGCAGTGGCTTTGACCTCCCTTCCTGTGTTTGCGTGTAAATCGGCTTCTCGCCTTGTCTTGACGGCATCGCAGGTACGAGCGTGCCTGCAAGCGAGCAATCGCGGACTACATTTTCAAGGAACCGCTTCATAAGCCAGAACTCCCTTCTCAAAGCCTCACGAACTAGATCTGCATTGCGTCTCATGCTTGGCACGTGCTACTGGTCCTACTGGTACTCGCAGCTGTTCCGTGCCTTTTTGGTTCAGCAATTTTGGAAGTCATCCATCCAACAGTTCTTGGACCGCCCGGAAATTCAACAAGGTCAGAGGCCCACTCTGATAAAACATGAAGGCCTCTGTTCTCGCCAGTGCTTGCGGGAGCCTTCCTTTCATCAAGCAGGACCCTGCCACTCGCGAGAGGGCGCTGGTGCCATTTCTGCCCACGCCGATAGCCGAGATGCAGTGCTGCAGCGCTTTTGGGCTTTTGGGGGCTCCACCGAAGGAGTCAGATGCGTGTGGCGTCCAGCCATGTCATGCCGAGACTTGAAGCCCAGTCTGCAAGAGCCACACAACCCATGACGATGTGCCTCGCGACCCAGGCCAATACCGGACTGGGGAACTGTTCCCTTCGAGGGCATCGAAGGCACTGTAGGCCTGCCGGTTGTTGGGAATCAGGGTCGAAAGCTTTCATGGGTTGTCCATGAGGATGGCAACCGCACATCCACGCGAGTCCATTGTCTTGCCCACTTGTTCCACTTGTACTCGGCAACGGGTGAGTTGAAGGTCCTGGAGGCATCAAATGCTTTCAGCAGAAAGCAGAGAGATCTGGGGAGTGCCATCGAGGTGGACCTCCCGCCGAATGGCGAGATGGAATCGAGGAAAGTCGGAACTCAGTGGTGGCCTCCGCCCTGTTTCGACAGACCGAGAGCATGGTGGGCGACTGTTTGCATAGAACTTCCGGACGGGCTCGGTGTGCCGAGCGCTGGGCCTGAAGTAAACTTATAGAGTATTCTCCGCTCCCTCGTCCTGCACGCCAAAGCTACACCTCAACCTGCCTTCCATGCTGGCCCATGCTGATTTCTCAAGTCCAGTGATGCCGAGGCCATCAGGTTTCGAAGTCGTCAAGTGTATGTCGGAGAATGCAGGGTTTCTTTGTCGTCTCATTCTCCGCGGGGCTTGGTTACACATCTAACCGTAAGAGAATCACACTGAAAGTGTTACAACAAAGGATTTCATTACATGTTTTCATGGGAGCATCGCCATGCCTGAGACGCTCAGAACCAAGTATGGAGAAAACATAAACAACTAACATGCTTTCACACGACAGATAGGTTGAAGATATTGCCCTTGCATTCATTGCATAGGTTCAGCCTGCCATCAGCATGTAGCTTCACAGTTGTGACGGCTCATGGATCGGGCCGCGATGCCACTGCCAAGGTGGCTTGGCCAGATACAAAGATTCGAAATGATTCGAGATGTAGATAGGCACGCTGGGCTACAGGGCCTGGAACTATGTATGTAAGGCTGTGGAGCATACTGGCCCTGGCGAGGGTTTTGCGAGCCATCCTCTGGGGGGCTGCAAAAAATTTGGAATAGGGGGAAGCCGAAACTTGCACTGCCGTGCTGTTTTTGTGCTTTTTTAACTAATCCGCTGACTCTCGCCTACTCATCCAGACTATCCGGCTCTTGTCTGGTCGCCAGCCATACGATTTAAACTTCAAATCCACTTCCTATAGGCAATAGGAGCCCCTTGCTCTAGATATTTGAACTGTAGAGGCGGTTCATCTGCGAGAGGCGTCCATAGACACAGCCCGGAATCCCCGGAATCCTCTTCACATGCTTCCTGCCAAATTTGGTCTTGGCTCTCTTATCCGCTCGGTATCTTCGATGCGGAAAGTCTGACATGATTCCCGTTGCCACCAAACTGACAGGACAAGACGAGATCCTGACACTTACCCATGTACCGCATGCGTGAATCAAGCCTTCAGCTCGCGATCTTCACCTAATGCTACCACCGACACTTCTACATTGGAACCCTTGCAAGCAGCCTAAGCGTATAGGATCATATAGGCTGAACTCCAAAGGCCAAAGCCAAAGACTGAGTCTCGCTCCAACTCCTTTGCAGCATCTCTGCGGGGAGCTCCCCACTCGAGTCTGAGACCTGCCGTTCGCGCTTACAGTTTTGGAGCGAACTGCGTAAGCTGGCACCCTTAATTCGTCTATAGGTGTCCTTGAGCACTCGGGAGCCTGAGCGCCTTGGGTCTGGGAGGATACATGGACCCTTTAAGCCCAGGCTTTCGCTGCTCTATCTGCCCGGCTGCGGTTCTTTGCCCGGTGGCCGCAAGGAGCGATTTCTGGAGGCTCGTTGCTCCCAAGAAGGGTGTCATGGGAGCTCGAGGGTTTAAAGTTTAAACCTACTCAACATGACTCAACCACTCAACCTTCATGCTTCTGCAGCTACTTGGGATGCAAGCGCACCAACCCTGCAGCTCGGTTCCAAAAGCTTTCCTCGACCAGGCCTACGCGAAGCAGCGTGGCTGCCACCTGCGCTGCTTGGAGTACGCCGCTTTGCAGAGGGTCTGGCGGTCCCGCTGCGAGCGATATCCAGCATCTCCGGGTTTAAGAGCGAGCTCGAGATATACTGGCGGCAGCGTCAGGTGAGGTCTCAGCTAGACCCCAAGCCCGCAGTTTCAACTAGGCAGCATATGTTCATGCTTGTCTTCCTACTCGCAAGATGTTGGCCACTCCACTCGAACCCCTGCAAAACACAGAGGTCCTAGAAGAACCGCTCAGGCAAAGCCGCTGGGATCCGAGGACCCACTGCGGCCAGCCGAGGCGCGCTCGATTCACTGCCGCGCTATCTACCTATCTGCATATATAGGTGCAAAGCTGGCTAGCTAGCTAGATAGATAGATAGATAGATAGATAGATAGATAGGTAGATAGAGATATAGATAGAGAGAGAGAGAGAGACAAAGAGAGATTGCGAGATAGATAAGCAGATAGATCAACACAAACAGATTCGATAGTCAGGACATACATGTATGTATGTATATGTATGTATGTATATGTATGTATGTATGTATGTATGTATGTATGTATGTATGTATGTATGTATGTATTGAAGTTTTCTAATAAGTGGATGGCGGCCAAGCCAAGCCCCCGGAGCCGCACAGATAGTAAAGGTGGTATGAAAGTGCTGCTTAAGTCATTGAAAAGAACTAAACTCCACCACTCCACCCTTCCACCCAACCTCCACCCTTTCACTCTTTCCATCTCCAACCTCCACCGCTGCAGCCCTGTACCCCTCTACGTTTTGGGGCTGCCAATTAGACATAATAGGGCGTTCTCAGGGTTTGCGGGTGGCTTCGGATCTCTTGTGGGTGGGGGTATAGTATAGGCTGCTGATGGGGTTGGGTTCAAGTCACGCCTTAACCCTTCAAGTTGCCAGGGGGATACATTTTCATAGGAATTTGGACCAAGAAGCTTCGCGACAACCTGTTTGGCTTTCAACGCATTTTGCAACCCGCACCTTGAGATTGACAGTTTAGGGCGGAGGTGTGAGTCGTGGGCACGGGCACTTGGTTTGAAAATTGTGGAGTGGATTGAGCGGGTGGTGGGTGGTGTGGAGGTGGGGGGTGGAGGGGAGGAAGGTGGAGTGGAGGGGTGGAAGGGTGGGGTGGAAGGGGCCAAGGTGGAGGGAGGGGTGGGGTGGAGGGCGAGGGGTGGAAAGGTGGAGTGGAGGTCGGTGGAGATGAAGGAAACGGGGTGGAGGTGTGGAGGGGTGAGGTTGCAGGTGGAAGGGTTCCCAGGCCCCTCACGACACCGCCAACAAACCCAGCACGAGCAACCTCCCAACAGCTTTACGACAGCAAGGCCAGGAGGGGTGCACTCCAGCATGCGTGGCCTTATGGAGAGATGTGGAGGGGCAGGGGTGGAAAGTTGGAGGGGTCGGAGGGGTTGGAGGTGAGGTCGGAGGGGTGGAGGGGTGCAGGAGGTGGACGGGTGGAGGGGGAGGGGTGGACGGGTGGGGAGGCGTGGGTCCACTTATTTAAAATGGGCTTGGCGGCCCGGGCCCGAAGGCAACGGAGGTGGTACAAAATATTTGCTTGAGTGTCTAAAAATCCGCATTTTTCGGCTATAATGGTGGAGACGGCGGCGTGGACGAGGTCTGATTCATGTTTCGTGGACTGGGCTCGGCATCGTAAGGGTCTGCATTTGTTACTTGGGCTCTATCGAGTACAGAAGCAAAAGGAGAAGATTGGATCGGGCTTGATCCAATTGAGAGTGTTCGATGCAGCGCCTTTGGCAACTGGAATGATACGCAGCGTGCGAAACAGCAGCAATGCTGTGGACATGCATGAGCATGCCAGCACCGCAAGCTTTGCGTTTTTCTTGAATAGCTGTGTCCGTATTTACAATCTAGCGCACAGTTTTGCCATGGTTGCATATTATACACCACATACCAGAACTAAACAAATTACATATTCCTAAAAAAGGTTACTGAATTGGACAAATACGTACACACACACACACACATATATATATATATATATATACACCTTTTAAACATGCATCTATAATAGAGACATACACATACAAGCTTGTCCGAGCAGAATCTAGGTTTGGTGATGTGAGAAGGATCTTACACCTGAATGTTCTCGGGCAGACAAAGACCTAAAAACTGCCGCCCTTCTGCGAAACGGAGCCAGAGTCCCCAAATCCGAAAGTGTGAAGCTCTGATTTCCCAGCCACGTCCTACGCCTTGAAGTGTGGAAGCCTGGAACTGGCGACAGGCCCTCAGCAGCCTCGAAGAGGCGATGATGAGGGGTCTTGCATTTAGATTTAGAGTTCCACTCGAGACGTTTGGGATGAAGCTAGCTAGTCAGCTAGTTTGTAATGCTGCATGTTCCGTGATATACTCTGTGCCTGATCGCATCTGACTGATAACTGCCACTCGCTTTTTTCCATTCACAGGGGCTTTGCGGCATCACAAATTATAGCTTTAGTGGTTGCACAAGTGCACAACATCTGAAGCATCGGGGCTGTGGTTTGACCAGCCAGCGACACTTTCGGCACAGCGTCGCAGAATACTGCGAAAGTTTCTAGCGGTTCGTGACACTGGTAGGACCGGTAGGAGCTTTTGAGTATCATCGTGCAGGTGTGGCCGTGGCACTTCCAAACACAAATTTTGGAAGAAGATTTGATACGGAGCAGTTTACCAAAAGCTCAATTGGTTCAGTTGGTACGTTTGATATAGTTGAACTGACTCACAACAACTCAGATGTCTTCAATCATGAAGGGCATCGGCATTATGCTACTATTTGGAAGCCCTCGAACATCAGGCGCTGCCGTTGACTTTCTGTGTTGTACGTTCCGAACCTCCGAGTCCAGGCAGTTCGTGACGCCCAGCGTGTATCGTTGCCACCTGCACTGGTCGTGGCCGCCTCAATGGGTGCCTGGCGGCTCTGCCTTGTTTGAGAGGTTTCGAGCTTTTAGTTTTTGCAGCCAGTTTTCTTGCGGGTTTAGGTCTTGGCCGCGGAGTGGTGGGAACAGGTCACTGCACCCGCGCTTCGGGTGTCTAAGGCCGGTTGCAATCAAGACCTTGGAGTGGCCGAGTGGGGCTGCCTTGGTGTTGCAATCAGGCTGCGACGATTGCTGCTGCTTTCTTCAGTTTGTGCTTGTCTAATGCAGGCTGTGCAACCTGCCATCTGTTGCAATGGAGCGTGCATTGGTTGTTCTTCGTTGTTCCTTTCCCACTGTCGAACGTGAGGTGCCCAGCTATGCCAGTCACGGTCCACTAGAGGTATGGCATGGTGATCAGGCATTACGTTCATTATTAGTCGTTTGGGGTCGCAATCCCTTGCTCACCGGTCCAACTTGAGGTTCAGACCTGTAAGCTTCTGAGATGCCCGGCCCAAGCCCCAATATAAGTGCCAATCGCAAATCTCCCATGAAACATATCTGTATCCAAATCATCATAGCTGACGCTTGGCATTCATTGCTTTTTAACTTTTTCATATCATCACCACCATAATCACTATCATTGTCACTGTCGTCGGCATTTGTGGCATCCGATGACAGCAGCGATAGCAACGATTCTGGAGACAACCAGTGCAGTGGCAATAGTAAGAGCAGCAAGAGCCAATGATGCCAAAGTAATAACAGTAGAACGAGATTCGGAAGTGCCAGTAACAACAGCTACGGTACAAAAGCAGTAGTCGACCGCAAACTCGTGGTGCCACTGCCAAGTCAATAGTAAAAGCTGGTGAAGCCAGGATAGCCGCCGGCCTCGCCCGACTTGGGGGTGTTTGCGGAGCTTTGCTGCTGGCACCGGCGGGGGCGCGGACCGGGCTACTGCAACGGCTGTTGCTGCACTTGCACGAGTGTTATGTCAACATCAGTTTTCTAGAACGAGATTCTTCCGTGGTTCTTCTATTCTATGGCATGCAGCATGGTTCTCAGTCACGCAGTCTCTGGGTGCGGTCCATTTATAGGTTGCTAGTTGTGGAAGATATGCCCAGTCTTTTTGGCCAGGTTTTTTCCTTAGTGGGTTTGGCCACGGGGGGGGGTTTGGCCCAGAGGCCGCTTCAAGGCAAGAATGACAGACAGAAAGAGACAGAACAAGATTGCATGTCTACTTGCTGTCCATGTAGTCTTAACTGTTGTTGTGCAGAGTTGACTGAAATGTGGGCTCGCTTGAAGCACACAACAGGAACAGAGGGGGAGGAACGCTGACCTGAGCCACCTTTAGAATGGTTACCTACCTGCAAGTGTTGTTGTTTTGCTACATCTTTCATACCTTGCTGGGGCTGTTTGCGTATGTTGCTGTTCTTCCCAGTCAGACGGGGGTGCGCTGACGAGCAGAGGGGGCCAACCTCCTCCTCAACCTTGCAGAGAGAAAGAGACAAAGAGAACTGAGTACGAACGAGGTGCTACTCACGTATGAGTGTTGCTCTTCGGCCGGGGCCAAAACGAATAACTTTAAAAGTTGGGGGAAAGCAGTTCGGTCCGCAAGTATTTGGGGCAAAGCACGCCCGCAGCGCTGGGCTCCGCAAAGCCGTGTCTTGCAGTACAAATCTAGTACGTGCAAGGATTCCGGAAGACTGCCGGAGGGGCCTCGTACTCTGGGGTATAAGTGTAGTATGCGGAATGCGTTCCGAAAGGGCGAGCCTGGCGGAGTGCAATTCCAGAAAAGCGTGATGCTAAGGGAACCCTTGTAAAGTCCAATTCTTTTTCAGCTTCCGGCCGAACAACACTTCGGGCATTGCAATTCCCCCAATAGCTTTCGGCTAAACGTTTTCAATTGCAGCATGGCCAAACCTTCAAAAACAACTCCGCCGTCCGGTTTCCGATTGTGGGCAGTCGCGGCACATCTGAACATGTTTCGTGGTGTTTGTGACGAAGCTATCCTGAGGGGCAGCCTCACGAGGGCATCTGAGCCTGTAATTTTACATGTAGACCGCAAGCAACGGTTCCAACCGAGTGCAGGATAGTGTCTAAAGCAATGGCTGGACGATCTGCAGGCACGATAAGGGTGCTTAGTGCTGAATGAGGGCAGAGGCGCATGCTTCAGTCATCCCAGCCGCAGACGCTACGCACCGCGAACATCATTTCTCGGGGATAGATGCCATTGTAGTGTGCCAAACGACCCTTCTCGACCGAGAAACATGCTCAGTGTCCAAGTATGTCAATTGAAGTGGTGCCATTAGGGTTGGGTTACATTCCTCACCTGACCTTTCCGGAAATAAATTTTGTGCACCATGTTCTGTGCTACGTCAGGCACTGCTATCCTGCCTTCGGAACATTCGGCCACGGGCGGCTACACCATCAACTCGACCATCCTTGTGGAGCTTGAGGCCCCGTTGTTTCCTCTCCGAAAGAATTCAATCAATGGCTTTGAGATGCTACGTAGTCTTTCCTCAGCAGTGGTGTTGCATGTGGTGTGTTGTATCATTTGGTCCCGATTGGCGGGGGTGCACATGGGCTTCTTGGATGTCCGCCAGCAAAGCACATCGATGATGCTAGGAGGCAGTCCGGCCGTTGGAGCTTAAAGCTCCAAGGGAAGATTTGTGTTGCTGTCGGCCATCGAAGTGTCTGTGCTCAATGTAGACCAGGAGGCCTCGATCGCTGACATGATGCCTGCTGCTTGTCCGGTTTGCCGCTTGTCCAAAAAGCAAGCTAATGCGAAAGAAGCCTCAATCCCGACCGGCTGAGTAAGACGAATTGCGTTCCCGGGCCCCGGGAGATTTCGGCAGCTCCATGACGTGAGACCATTCTGCTTGAAAAAGAACGCATGTGTGAGCTGTGCAATCCTCTGAACCGATTTGTGCTCAACCATGCACGCCGTGTGCCATCATGACAACTCCGGAACAATGAGCGGATCCCAGTCTCGCCCCGGAGCTCCGAACGTCGGCTCCCGAGTATGGAAATCTGCCCTCAGTCCAGGCTCCGGCTCCAGAGGGGCGCCCCACAATATGTCACGGTACGAATGTATGTGTAGGTGTATAACTAAGTAAATAAGTTATGTCTATAAATAATTATACATATGTATATATATATATATATATACATAACACGTACATAGGAAACGTTCAACCTACACCGACATGCGGTGAGTTAATGGTCGAATCTACATCTGGGTGCATTCCTATATATCGCAACATACAAAACTCAAAAAGCCCGAAGCCCTTTTTCCATCGTCAGGGGAGTTGGGACTGCACGTTGCATTCTTCAGACAAAGTTTCGGGGCCCAACCGACACGGAAACTCAGCCCAGGCATCCTTCACGGCGACAAAGATGAGGCAGTGCCGCTCGAAGCTTCGGCTGCTTGGCCCTTTGGGGTTTGAGGGTATTTGCTCAGTGTACCTCTGCCAACATGCGCCTCTCCTTTCTTTTTGGCCTGTCCTTGCATGCACATGGCATATGCCAACTCAGTGACACCAGGAAGGAAGATTCGGGAAAACGGCAAATGCGACAACAAGAACGCAGCGCGCTTCTGGTACTCGGTCAAGAGAACTCTCAGAGACCTCCGCCTGTCTTGCATACACCCACAAAGCATAAACACACGCACAGACAGAGACAGCAAGACAGCAAGACAGCAAGACAGCAAGGCAGGCAGCCAGCCGGACAGACAGATAGACAGACAGAGCAGACAGAACAGACGGCACAGACGGGACAGACAGGACAAACGCACAGGACACAGAGGCGCGTGCGCGAGCGTGCGCGCGCGCACGGTCTTGCACAGCACATGCACATGAACAGATGCATGAAGCCGAAACGAAAGACCCATGTGTCTACAGCATGGGTCTCTATATGTATATACATATGCTACATGGAAGTGCAGGGGTTGTTCACCAGACCGTGTACATACATGGGTTTCATAGTGTATCCAAGCCATTTTATAAGTATGCATTTTCGCAAGCATTGTTACTTCTCTGAGCTTCTGTGAACTTGCTTTCACATGCTTATGTTTGTTGATGCTTGCTTACGCTTTCTGTATGCTAATGAACTATTTCCTTGTTCTGCTACCTGGGGGTTTTGGTGCCTTGCTCCCTGCGTTGATGCCTCAACAACTTTGCCCAGCTGGCCTAGCTTTCTCAGCAATCGTGACACGAGAGTTCCGACATTTGTTTGCTGAGCTGCCAGCAGTCGGGAGTGCCTGGACAGTGTGATCGTAGTCTGAGTCGTAAGAGTTCTTACCATTCTGTTTTGACCAGGGGTTTGGACTGCTCAGCAGGCATCCAGCCATAGTGTGTGAGCATCATTTCAATACTCAGTTCGTTCATGACATACTGCTGAAAGATGGTATGTTACAGCCGAAAGTGTTTACGCACACTTGAGAAGCCATGAGCAGCTGGGGGAGTGCAATGGAAGCGTGTGATTAGCGCCAATGCATACATGTAGGGAAACATGATCTCCCTGCAGCCTGCAATCAAGGAAGAGCTCCTCGGCCAATTGCTGGCTAAAGGTGGAGAGGCACGCAGCCCGAACTGCCCGAGCCCTCGACCAGCTGCAGCTTCAAAAGTGGGATCTTCGGACTCCTCGCACCTCATGTTGCCTGGCATAAAGCAAAGGATTCGACTTACAGAGGCTGTTAGAGGTACTCTTCTTATTCTTGCAGTGCCTGTGTAGCCAGGACAATCGACAGTTCGGTGCTTCCTTCCTGCACCTCGAAGCCTGAGACCTATACAGGCAACCCTTCGCCGAATCCACGGCGGTGACCACCGCCTGTCCAAACCTGCTGAGCTGCAGGTCCTCGAGGACGCAGGGCTTTGCCTTTGCTTGGGCAGACGGGGTCTGATCCATGCAGGTTTGGGGACTCATAGAGATGTTCAGCTCTTTCTCCCGTTTTTGCGGCATAGATGTTCTGCGTTTCTCTTTGCAGATCCCTTTCAGGTTTGGCTTTCGTAGTTTCTCTGTCATGGAAGTGTGAGTGCATGGGCCCGTTGTCTTGAAGTGGTCCATGTCATGGATTGTCATGGTGTTTGCCTGACTCTGCAGCAGAATTGTTTGTTCATCGACTCCCGGAGCTCCAACACCTGGCGCTCCAGAGTTGAACCTATAACATAAGGTCTTTAACGTTTGGGAAAGGGTGATGGTGCGGGAAGTGAAAGGATAAGTTTCCCCTGGGGCTGAGTTTGGAGTTTTGTGTTCGGCCTCCATGTTTGCAGCAGGTTCAAGATCTGGTTCCGTGCAGTTGTGTCCATTTCGTACTTGACACGCCTGAGACACGGACGAAAGTGCTTCCTCGTGCTGGTGCGAGCCAGGAGGAGCTGGATCGGCTGATGCTTCGCTCTGCCGCGATTCCTGAAGAAAAAGTGTGCGTGCCGTAGCCAAGCAACACTGCCAGCACAAAATCACCTACCAAGTCAACACGCACAGCTAAGAACGTGCTGACGATGGCAGGTCCGGAACCTCACGGTTTGCAACCAATCGGCTCTACGCCTCCTGTACCTGTGGTGCCCTGGGCAGTGCTTGGGTTTTTGTGTGAGTTAGCATTTGGATGGTTGTGTCGAAGGTGAAAGGCTCACGGGCTTGAGGCTTCCGGCTTCGCAGTTGGACTGAGCTGGCACTGCGAGGTACGGCATGGGCTATGGGTCCATGCTCCTAGTGGACCTCCCGCCTCCTTCGACGGCCATGGTCTGTGCCTTAATTCCATCCCTGCGCCTATAAACTACTAAATTCACCATGCCAGGAAAGCAAGAGGTTCTGGCGGTCAGTCGTTTGAGCTGCCACCTTCCGAGTAGAGGGTGATGGGCATCGAGCCGGAGGGTACCAAAGCTTGTGCTGATATTGTACGGATGATGATCCTGTGTACGGAACCTCGCCAAAAGCCTCCGAGAATCTACTAATGCAGGGAACCAAGACTTTGACTGCTCGGCAAGCTCGTGAGAATCGGGCTTGACTCAAACCTACGCATCGTCCCAAACTGCAGCAATCAATTTCCCACAAGCTTTTCTGAACTCTACCCTAGGGCTCCCCGCCACATTCCGCAAGCTGGTCATACTCCAAGACCCACTTCTACTTGCAATTGTGCAGGCCCCGATATCAGTAGCTCTGATTTCTGAATCCATGGCAGGTAGACATCGACCACTTCTCCGAAAGGCGAGTGCTGCCAGATGGTTGGGCATGACTGCGAGGGCAGATGTGAGATGTGATGTAGGATCAAGGTGTTTGGGAACTGCTTTCAGCCCGAAGATTCGGTCGTGAGAGCAAATGCCAGGCAGAAAGCCTGCTGCCACGAGGTGTTTGCAAAGTGAGGGCCCTGAATGCAAAGAAGTGTTTCTTAGGAGGGTGCCTCCGCTTCGGTGTTTTTCCCATGCCCGTTCTTCGCGACTGACTTAGTGTGGCTGGCAGCATGATCTCTGATGCTTACAACTGGGCATGCTCGAAATGAGAAAGACGCCCGAACTCCGTCTCAGCGTGCAGCCCGAAGTCCCCAAGCCCCAGAAGCAGCGTTGGACCGAGGTTCAAGTCACAGTGGTTCGAGGAAGTCTGTGCCATCCTCCGCGAGGTGCCTTGGATTTCAGGGACTTCGGCCTGGCCCGAAGGTCTGGGCAGCGCCGCTAAGGGGGAAGTTCAGCAAGAGCGACATGTTACCGGCTTCGACCCCGAACTCAACACTGCCCTGGCTCAAAACGTACCTTCTGGTGTTCCAAACCCTTTGTGCCAGGAGAACCTGCACTTGAGGACGGAGCTGCCAGTTTGCAGTTCGGGATTCTCAACTTGGCGACACTTCGTGACAGAGACCAGAAAGGTTGATAGTTCACTTGACTGCTTGGACAACAATGGCGGTGCAGCTGCTACACAGCAACTTGCACTTGATTTCATGGTCCTCTGAAAGTTCACGGCGGTCGCAATTCAGGAAGGGATAGTAGCTGTGCTGATCCATTGTTGTTTCAGGGTTGTTAAAAGTAATTTCAGAGAAGCTCCACCTCAGTGGAAACTCCCCATACGATGAGCCCGGACTGATGCCCTTGGATCACGGTGGAAGGAGCCCTGCAGAACAACGATTCTTCGCCGGCATCAGGGCGCTGCTGTCGGTACAGCACCGTCCTTGAATTGTTTTCCGTCCATAGGTTTCCAGGGTTAGACACAACTATGGCCATGGTGATTCGGTTTGCACCACGCCTGAGCTGCAAGACGAGATTGTCCGAGCATGAGAACATGTGACGGATTCCTGTTGCACACTCCGGAGAGTCATCCACCTGGCAAGCCTTCTCATGATCCTGTACTTTACTATCGCTGGAGCATGTACCCTACGGTGCCCTCCTGCTCTGCTCGTCCCAGGACTCGGGACCTGGTGGCACAGTCTGTGGCTGCCTATGCCGACTTCTTCCGGCGTTTTGACGACCCGAAGCCGCTCGCAGGCAAGCCTATTCTACTCTTCGGCCTTGAGGCCGCAGTTTTCGCATGATGCGTACAGGTATCAGCTGCAGGAACACTGGAGGATTTTCCCGCTTCCTTAGAGCTACATAGTGAATGTCTGGCAAGCTGACTGCAAGTAATGCGCATTATCGCAAGCTATGCAGCACGCCTTCTGCGCTGCGGCACATCGGCCCCAAGACTTCTTCCCTCGGAAACATGAAGCATGTTGAACACTTAGTCTGAACACCATCTTAAACCGAGGCCCTTGAGTCCAGAAGAGGTTGTGCAGTGCGGTTCTCAGTCGGGCCAAACACTGTCGAGCTTCGGGGTTGTGACCGGGAGGTGCACTCGGTGATTTGATGTGGTTGTGAACTTCGCCCTCGGAGATCCTTCTCGTTCGTCAGGAAGCCCAGGGCTTCTGAAGTCGGATTCCAGGAAGCTTGGGCCTTTGGCCCCAGAGGACACAAGCTCCGCCCCTGCAAAGCTGAGCCTCAAGACCAGCCAAAGGACACTCTCGAGCACATTAGCCCCGTAGGATGTCACCTTCGTCGTTCTCGCCCTCAATCCAACAGCCTTCGTTCTCCAGCCCTAAAGTGAGCACGAAGACTAGATCGACATTGAGGCTCAAGGACACGGATGATCGCCAGGATGCCTTCCTTGTGGGGCGCCTAGATGTGTCTTGAATAGACAGTAAAAAGACACGTTGTAAAGAAAGGTTGCATCTTTTTTGGTGGGATCTCGAAGGCCCAGCCAGGATTTTTTTGTAGCCCGGGTCTATGTTTGAGTCTTTTCTCTCTGAGTCTAGGAGACTGTACTGCGTGATGGAAGCCTGCCTTGCATGTTGAGATGAGCCCTATGCGAAACAACAGCGGCCATGGCGGATGGGCTCCCGCATCCTCCAGCGTTGACCCGAAATCCCACTTATATGAAGGTATGCTTGACGATCCTCAATCGTGTGGTCTTTCATCCAACCGCCTGGCTGCGTCTACTTCCGGAACTGAAGCGATCTGGGGACGTTAAAGAAGTTTGCCCGGTCAATGGGCTCAATGATGGGGTTGGAAGTACAATAAGATCGAGGCAGCAAGGGCTGTCGAGGTGGTGTTGAGGCAAGCCGCTAATCTGCAGCGCTAAAGTGTACCTACACTAGCCTACACCCTGAGCCCAACCCTTATAACATACCCCGTACTGGACATATTGCATGCCCGCTTGTTTCGGTCATGAGGTCGTCAAGCTGGTGCCGAAAGGTCTGCAAGCTCAGCTGTACAGTCTTTTCGCGTTTTGGTCCATTAATGCTGAGACAGAAACCCACCAAACCACATCATAGGCACGTCGTTCCACCTCGTTCCAGTCTTGACCCAGCTGCTGTTGACCACGGTTTCCAAATCCCTATCTGCAGGAGTGCCCTAGGCTTCAGAGCATCCCGAAGCATTGATAATTCCCACAAGCTGAACAGTCCTAGAGCTCTTAGCTGAAAGGTCAACGCTCACGACCCTCAACGCCCCAGGTGACGAAGTGAAACTCAAGGACTCCACAGAGCGCGTGGTTGAACGTGTGCTCAGAGTGTGCCAACCTCAGGAAGCCACCAATCACGCCAGAAGGGGAGGGGCACGCTTGAGTCATTGGGTAGCAGAAGCTGTATAGACCAGTTATAGACCCGCGGAAAGCGACCCAGAAGAAGCCTCGTGCTTATGGAGTAAACTGAGTAAACGAGGACGAAGCTCTGCTATGTATGGGTTTCAGAGGTTCAACCGCATGCTGTTGAAGCCAGAAATTCGTGGCTCGAAAAGACGAAGGCATTCAAGGATTGTGCGGAGGAAGCGCGAAGAATGCAGCCCTCAGCCCCCGTGCTACCAGGTTCAAAGAGTTCGTCGTCTGCCTGAACGACATCCCATCGCCGGAAAGTCGGATTCAGGCCTGCCAGTGTGTGGAGGGATGAAATCCGAAGGGAGCATACAGGATCCGAACTTCCAACTCTTGAGTGTTGTTCCAAACCAGGCTTCAAGGTTTGGGATTCGGATGTCTATAGCTTTGGCCGGGTTGACAGGGTGCCAAGCCAATGTAGCAAAGGCGCTCACAGCGCTCGTGACAGTAAGACCCTCAGTCAGCGAGCACACGAAATTGTCAAGATCAAAGCAGCTGAGTTTTTACGGCTTGTCAGGGTGGAGGAAGCGGGGCCAAAGAGAGTTCCAAGAACCTGTGGCTGGGCGGCAGATTCCAGTGCATTGTGCGGGAGCTGGATAAAGCCAGAGGGCGCGAGTGGGGTTTGGTTTCGACGTTTAGGTAGGCAGACTACACAGGTTCGATGTTGTGTCGGACGTTTGCCCACACTCAGTCTGCCCGAGAGCATTTTTAGCTTCAAGTTCGATGCCCAAACCTCAGACGCGATCCCAGGTGGGGTACATTTCTGGAAGAGGAGTACGTGCAGGAGGTGCCTGGGATGGAAGAGGTTTGACGCGGTTTCGAGTGTTTGCGAAAGGACGGGATCTGAGAGTTTCAGGGTCTAGTTTCCCAGTATTCTCAGAAGCGTATGTGGTGTTTTCGTGTGTTTTCCACATCTGCGATCCAGGCGAGAAGCTATGCAAGCCCTTGCTGTCGAGGTTGCTCTTTGGTCTGAGAATCATCACCTGCCCGTTGTCCACAGATAGTTACATTTACATAGTTTTCTCGGACCCTCTGCTAGCTGCCAGCTATCAGCCCGACGGAAGCTGATCACATCGGTGCCAGAGCATTAAGTAGTCCGAGAAGCCTAGCAATTCACGAAAGGAAGTCATCACGTGGACAGAGTCTTCATTGCTTGGGGTGAAAGCCCTCCGCCCTACGGCGTCTTGAATCACAGAGTTTGCTCTTCTTGTTTCAGTGACCCTGAAGGCATTCAGTTCTGCCAACAATTGCCACACTTTCTCTCCAGAAGCCTGCAC